TTTTTTTTTTTTTTTTTTTTTTTTTTTTTTTAATTTTTTTTGAAGTTAAACGAGTTTAATAAGTATTTCTTTAAATACAAAATTAAAGATATATTTGCCGGGATTTTAGTTGAGCTTCACGCCGCGCTCACCTTCAATGGCGTTCAAATTGTCTTTTCCCTTTCCCATTTTCTCTCCTCAATTTAGCCCTAATTCAACTCCGTCGCACCGTCCTCTTACCGAAATCCGATTTTCCCGTTGGAACAATGCAAACGCTGAGAAATTCGAGCAGCGCCGACGGTCTCAGCAAGAAATCGAGGATGAAATCCGCCGCGAGCGCCGCTTCGATTCCGCCGCTAGAATTACTGACCTCTGCGATTCCAACTCGTCCACCTCCGCCATTGACCGGACTGAAACGTTTAGGTCTGTCGGCACTCCATCGTATCCGTCGAGGCCTTCAATCCCTGGTCGAAAATCCAAGTACTCAAAAAACCCTAATCCTGGTTCACCCCCTCCATTTCGTCAAGTTTCGAAGACCAAAAAGACCATGAGCGCACCTAAAGAAATGCCTATTGGCGTAGAAGCCAAAGTTAGCCTAAGTGAAGATGGAGTTTCGTACGTAATCGATGGAGCTCCATTTGAGTTCAAGTATAGCTACACAGAAACGCCGAAGTTGAAGCCGATAAAGCTGCGTGAACCGTATGCCCCGTTTGGGCCAACGACAATGCCGCGGCCGTGGACGGGGCGTGCTCCATTGCCGCCAAGCCAGAAGAATTTGCCGGAATTCGACTCGTTTCAGCTGCCGCCGAAAAATAAAAAAGGAGTTAAGACAGTTCAGGCACCAGGACCATTCTTAGCAGGTTCGGGGCCCAAATACGTGATGTCGAGGGAAGAAATATTGGGTGAGCCGTTAACAGAGGAGGAGATCAAGACGCTGATTCGTGGGTGCATCAAATCTAATAGGCAATTGAATATTGGTATTCCTTCTCTCAAATTCTTACTTAGCGATTTCCTGTTTAGCCAGATTTCTAAATACTGGATTTCTTCATTTGCGTTCTTGCCATTAGTTTTCCCAGTAATTTTTGAACAGAAATCTGTTAAATAGAATCTTTGGACTTGAAATTTATAGATTAGAACAGGCTCTGAATGGAAAATTCTATCTTCTCTGCATTTTGGGGTGTGGTAGGATGAACTTACTGAAATTTTTACTCTGAATTGCTTTTAGGTAGAGATGGTTTAACGCACAATATGTTGGATAACATACATGCTCATTGGAAACGGCGTAGAGTGTGCAAGATAAAATGCAAAGGAGTGTGTACGGTTGATATGGACAATGTGAAACAGCAATTGGAGGTTGATGCCTCTTTATACATAGCACGACGGATTACTACTGATTGTCATTTAAATACACTAGCAGTGTTTCTTATGCCTCCTTACCAATACAAATATAAATTAGGTTAAATAAATATTTTAGTAGTTGTAGTGTGAGATCCCACGTCGGTTGGAGAGGAGAATGAAGCATCCTTTATAAGGTTGTGGAAACCTCTCCCTAGCAGACGCGTTTTAAAAACCTTAAGAGGAAACTTGAAAGGAAAAGCCCAAAGAGGACTATCTGCTAGGGGTGAGCTTGGGTTGTTACAAATGGTATTAGAGCTAGACACCGGGCGATGTGTGAGCGAGGAGGCTGAGCCTCGAAAGTAAGGACGTTGGGTCCTGAAGGGAGTGGATTATGAGCTCGTTGAAGAGGAGAACGAAGCATTATTTATAAGAGTGTGGAAACCTCTTCCTAGCATACCATTTTAAACACCTTGAGGGGAAACTCAAAAGGAAAAGCCCAAAGAGGACACTATCTACTATCTGCTAGCAGTGGGCTTGGGCCGTTACATATATAGCTTGTGTTTGGTTTCAATTTTATCCTTACGAGTTTTTGCCGTGCTTGTGAGTCTTTCCGGCTTCTTGAATTACGACAATGATGTCTTTGGTTTTTCTTGTGGTCGGTTGCTTACAGTCTCTGTTCTTTTTAAGTTAAGAGTTTGAGCCTAGACCTCCTATCTTGCCTTTGTTAAATGAATGTATTGTACTTTTTTTGTTTACTTGATAAACATACCATCAGCTTTGAGCAATGTAGTGTTGCTTTATGCTTCTAACTTGTTTTCTTGTCACATAATTTTGGTAGGAAAAAACTGGGGGCAAAATTATCTATAGTAGGGGTGGGGCATTGTACCTTTATCGAGGTAGAAATTACAACTATAAAACCCGTCCTCGTTTCCCTCTTATGCTATGGAAACCCGCTGCACCGGTGTACCCTCGGCTACTTAAGCAGGTCCCTGATGGCCTAACACTGGATGAAGTGACTGAAATGCGTAAGAGGGGACGGAAATTAATACCAATATGCAAGCTAGGTATGGGTCTTTTCTTACTCTTCCATCACCATGTGTGAAAGATTTTAGCATGCTAAACATTCTGTTGTTTGTACATGTTGTAGGGAAAAATGGTGTGTACTCTAACCTCGTAAAACATGTTAGAGAGGCGTTCGAAGAGTGTGAACTTGTCAAGATTAATTGTCAAGGGCTGAACGAGAGCGACTTCAAGAAAATCGGCGCGAAACTAAGGGTCTTCTTCTATTTTCTCCCTTCAATTTCCATTGGGTTTTGCCAAGCAATCTTTTGAGCCAACTTTTTATCTCTTTGACTACAGGATCTTGTCCCTTGTGTTCTTATTTCCTTTGAAAGCGAGCACATTCTTTTGTGGAGAGGAAAAGATTGGAAATCCTCCCTTCCATATATAGAAAGAAATCCCGTGGGAGCGAAGGCACGTGGAACAAACGAGGGAACTATTGCTGCACCATCCATTGAAGAACGAGAAGCGTCGGTTGAGGATACGAGTCTGATCGACCATGATTTGATGTCTTTGGGTTCTGCAGGCCTCTCAGCTCGAGGAAACGAGGAGCTAGATCCTTTGGTTGCCGAGAAATCTGTCTCTGCCGATGTTGATTCATTAACAGCAATGATGGGTGAAAGCAATTCTCTAGCAGACGCAGACGATATGGAAGCTACAGGGTCAGATGTTCAAGAAATGAACACTGATAGCACGTGTGATGATACTGAATCGTCAAGCGCAATGTCGGGAGGTGAGACTGAGACTGAGACTGATTCAGGACATGAAAACTCAGACTTTGATGAAGCAGAACCAATGGAACAATCAAGATTGAATGCCATTGCAGCTGCTGGAAACCTGGAGACTAAGCCAGCAAGTTACGCCATGGATGGAGTTCTTCAATTATTGAAGCAAGCGATCGAAAATGGCGGTGCCCTTGTCCTGGACGATTCTTCATTGGATGCCGATGTCGTTTATCGTCGAGCAGTCGCCTTTTCTCAATCTGCTCCTCCGGCGCCCGTTTTCAGGCACCAACCAAGGAAGAAGGTAGCAGTTGATAAGGGTGAGGAGCAAACAAACAGAGAATTGGAGGAAGTGAAAGAAGAGAGTGCAGTTTCAGTGGAGAGAGGAAGTGGGAAGAAGGATTCTAAAACGAAAAAGAAGAAGAATTTTGGTGAATATAATTTCAGTTCGCCACAAGGAAGCTTAGGAGTGGATGAACTTGCAAAGTTATTGGCATGACGTGTACAGGTCCAGGTTCAAACTTGATTACTCAATAAAAATCCCTTTTAATCCATTCACTTTTAAAAATTAATTAATGTAAAGAATATCCATAAACTTTAATATCTTCAAATTTTCAAAAAAAAAATTCTAAAATCACTTTCAAACTAAAAAAAAATCTAAAAAATAAAACTTTCAATTTTTTTTAAAATACCATTTATTTTAGAAATCTTGGGTTCGGGCCGAAGAAGCAATGTCCACCCGAATTTACATATAGTAATGTCCATCTCTTACCAAAAACAAGTCATTTATGGATATTATCTGGAGGTTCGTGGATGTGCAGTTCCTTTTTCACTCTACACGGATGAAGATCAAATTGACTCATTTTTGGGGTAAGAGATAGACATTACTATATGTAAATTCGGGTGCCTTCCTGATAATATCCGGAGGTTCGTGCGGATGTGCAGTTCCTTTTTAACTCTACAAGGATCAAGATCAAATTAACGGTAAATAATGATAATCTTTATCTGTTCGTAAGGATCTCAATTATTTTTTTCTGTCCATCGGGAGATGGGATGACCTTATTACATGCTAGAGCTTATCGAAAAGAAAGAAGTTCTTTTTTTAAGATTCAAATAAAAAAAAGCCAATTATCCATGACGGAAAAAGCTTATCGAAGTCGAAGGGTTATCATATCAAGATTTAAATCAGTCATGAACTAGATTTAAATCGGTTATCATATATTTGTTGTTAAGGCTGTAAATTTTCTAAGGTAACATTAAACATATTTGTAGATAAGGCAAGGATATATAGTAAAAATAAAAATTGTAAAATTTTATGGATATTTTTTTTAAAATCACGGTGATATTTTTGAATTTTTTTTAAAAAATTAAAGGTATTAATAAACTAAGTTAGTACCAAAATTTATAAACTAAGTTTATAATTTATATAATATAAATATTAGGCTACAAACACTTAATCAAACACGTAGGATGACTAAACAACAATAAAATGAACTTAAAAAAGCTGGCATGTTGTGCTAAACATCAAGCTTAGCATCTGCAGGCTTTTCCTTGATGGGCGGCTCACCTTCTTCCCTAACAATCGTCTTCCAGAACGGATGATTTTCCCAAAGAAGATAAACCTCTTCGATCGGAACCTGCTTGGTTTCCGGCAACAGAAAGTAGATGAAGCAAGTCATGAGGAATATCAAAGCCGCAAACAGAATGAAAATCCCGTACTGGAGATGGCACATCGCCGCCAGAAAGCACTGAGCGATCACTGCCGTGAAGAACATGTTGACGCACACCACGATGCTCTGCCCGGCGGACCTCGTCTCCAACGGAAACAGCTCGCTCGGAACCAGCCATCCCAATGGACCCCACGACCTTCCGTACGCCAAAACAAACAGCCAAATCGCGAACACAAGGAACACGCTTACGCCTCTCGACAGCTCCTTGTCTTGTCCGAAGTTTAATTTCAGTGTTATCGCCACCGCTATCTGTCCAATTTAACGAATTTATAATTTCCTATTTTTTTAAAATAAAATTATAATTGTTTCAATTTTTTTAATTTTCTAGAAATTAAATAAAATAAACTTAAAAAATTAAGGAAATAAGTGATGGAAATTGATTTTTTTTTTTAATTTTTAATTTTCTATTTTTTAAAAAATTTATAATTGTTTTCCTTTATAAAAACATTTTTTTATTTTCAGAATTTAGTTTGATTTTTAAAAAATAAGAGTATATGAATGAAAAACAAATATTTAAATTCTAAAATAAATGTTTTAAATTTTCTAGAAAACTTGAAAAATTTAACAAATTAATTTATAATTTTCTATTTTTTTACGAACAGATATTTTTTTAATTTTCAGAATTTAGTGTGATTTTTAAAAAATAAAGTAGAAAATGAATGAAAAACAAATAGTTAAATTCTAAAATAAATATTTTAAATTTTCTAGAAAACTTGAAAAATTAAGTAAATAAATTTTTTTATGGAAATTAAAATTTAATTTATAATAATAATTATTATCGAGGAGTATTGGGAATAATACCATGCAGAAAAACATTTCACATCCGGCTTCAAGGAAGAATTTCCGCCTCCCAAATTTATCCACAAGGAACATAGAAATCAACGCCGCAATAACCAGAGCTCCGCTTGTGAAGGCGGACGAATACAGAGACGCCGCCGATCCAAACCCTAAGCTCTGCAAAATCACCGGAGCGTAAAACAGAATCGAATTGTTTCCGGTAAGTTGCTGAAACGCTGGAATTCCGAGCGCTCCGATGATCAATTGTGGCCGATTCTTTCGGCGGAGCAAATTCCTGAACGGATGCTTCACAGCCCTAGCAGCATTGCTCGCATCGACCAGATCTGAAAATTCCGCTTCGACATTCGTAGTTCCTCGAATCTTTTCAAGAACTCTTCTCGCTTCCTCTAATTTTTCTTGTTCCACAAGGCTATTAGGCGTTTCCGGAAGAAATAAACCGCCGATGAACATTACCGATGCTGGAAGCATCGCTAATCCGAGAGATAATCGCCATCCCCATGGATGAATCTGCTCTGTTCCGTAATTGATGAAATTTGCGATCAGAATCCCTAAGCAAGTCGTCAATTGGAACAATTGGTTCACCTGGCCTCGGATTTTGGCCGGAGCGATCTCGGAAAGGTATAGTGGAACTGCTTGATTGCCGAATCCGATTCCGATTCCGAGGAAGATTCGGCCTATTATGAGCATTGGAATGTTGATTGCGACGGCGTTGATTAGGCCGCCGAGGAAGAAGGAGACGGATCCGACGAGGATACTTGCGCGTCGTCCTCGCTTTCTGGTGAGGTGAGAAGCGAAGAAGGTGGAGAGGAGACCGGCGAAGTAGAGAGAGGAAGTGAAGAGAGTGAGGATTTGATCGTCGTATTTGCAGTAATCTGTTTCTTTGATGTGAAGCTGTTTGCGACGGTACACTTTTGGGAAGAACTCCTTTAGAAAATCGTCCATGGAAGTTACTCCGCCTGAAATCCGCCATTCATATATCACTCACTCACTCACAGCTTTAAATTTAGGGAAAAAAATATAGATTTGAAAAAAATAAGATTCTCGTTCGTATCCAAATTTCTACTCATGGATACATATGTGTAAGAATGTTTTGTTCTCACTCACATGTCTTAAGAGGTTATTTGACATCTATTACGTTTTTGTCCTATAATATTCTGTTTCCACTTCGTACGAGGTGGTAACACCCAACTGGATGATATTTTGTTATCACTTACACGTTCGTATGAGGTTACCCAACACCTATGAGATTACCCAACACCTAATTGTCTTAAGATGTTCTATTATCACTCACTCGTTTGTCCTAGGATGTCACGTTCTTACAAGGCTAGCCAACACCTAATTGTCTTAGGATGTTCTATTCTCACTCACACGTTCTTACAACGTCACCCCAACATATGTCTAATGAAAATCATTAGAAAATCACCCAAATCACAATTCCGATAATTTTGAAATTCTCATAATTGAATGGTAACCCTAGATTCTCGTTCTCATTCAATGTAGTTCCCTTTATTCGAGGTAAATAAAAAAGTAGATCACCTGAAACACCAAGATCATAGCCAAAGAGAGAGCCTCCAAGGGCAGCAACAATGCATGCATTGAAGAAATACCACGTGAATTTGTACTCATAAAGATGAGCTCTTTTCAATGGCCCTGCATCTGTAAATCCTCCTCCTGCCATTTATATTTTTCCTTTTTTTCTTTTTTCTTTTTTTTTTCACTGCCAAAAATCCAACAAAATAATAATAAAAAAAAACTAAATATTGAAACGGAAAAATTATAACTAAGATCTTAAATTAAAAAAAAAAAAAATAATAATAAGAGGAGACGACCGTGCAAACAGTACCGGAATTTCAATTCAAACGGAAATTATTGCCGGCGCCGTCGGGTTCTCGCCGCCGTGGAATGGAGAATTAGAAAGAGAAGTGAAGTGGGTGTGGGGGTAAAGTAAAAGAAAAGTGAATATTTATAAGAGCGTCTCCTAATCTCTCTCAACTTCCCTTATCTCTCTCAACTTATCTCTCTCTCTAACTATATCTATAATTACAAATTTAGTTTCTTACACTAAAACAAATAATTTTTAAATATTTTAGTTTCTTACTTAAATATAAAATTTTAGTTAAAAACAAATAATTTTTAAATATTTTTAATTGATTTTTGATACAATAAATATTTTTTAAAATTCAAGGATGAAATAATAAATTTTTGGGACTAAAATATAATTTAATTTAATAAAAATTTTATTTTCTCTCTTGTAGTCCCTACTTTGTGTGGTCGATAATTATCTAAATTATTTGAATGAGTCTTAAATTTTAATTTTGTATTAATAAATGATTTAAAATTTAATTTTATGTCGATAAATTAGAAGTTTATCTTATTAAATATAAAATTTAACTTTAATTTCATGTTTAATAATAAATTTGTTGATTTGGAAGAAAATTAAAAATATTTTTATTTATTTATTAATGAAAAGATACCAGATGACTCATATTTTAGCTAACCGTGTAATAGATTTGTAACAAATAATTGATGTACTTTTCTATTCACGAAAAGACGCCAGAATACCACGACTCATATTTTAGCTAATCGTGTAATGGATTTACATCAAACGAAACTTAAATTTTAGTCGATATACTTTCATTTCCACGAGAGACGCCACAATACCATGACTCACATTTTAGCTAACCGTACAGTGAGTTTAGAGAAAACGAACCTTAAATTTTAGTTGATACACTTTCATATTTACAAAGAGACGCCATAATACCACGACTCACATTTTAGTTAACCGTGCAGCACATGACTTGGGAACAGGTTCTTGGAGTTGGTTCTATTTCTCTATCGTTCAAAAATTAAATATTTTAATACATTTAGTTATATTTATGTCGGAAAATAAGTAATTAATGGAGGGTTAATGTTAAAAGAATATATTGCTAAAAAAAACTATATTTATTTTATTGGAGTTGTATTGATATTTTAGACCAATTGTTCTATTTAATTTTTTTAATATTTATAATTACTGAATAAAATTATTAAAATTCGGTTGATACGAGAGGATTTTTATTAAGTTTCACGTTTTTTAATAATGAAATTATAATTACATCTAGGGAAGAAATTGAATTTCTAATTTAATAAATTTTAAATATATTTAAAACTCTGAAAAGCATTCAATATTTGATACAACATATTGAATTATATAATAAATATATATATATATTAAAATATATATATATATATATATATATATTTATTTAAAATAAATATAACAGTTCCCAAAATTATTTTATTGTCACGTGCTGAAAAGGGGCCGAACGGAGCCCGAAAGAAGGGGGAAAGATGGAAAGAGAGAGAGAGAGAGAGAGAAAGGATGAAACATTTCTCGCAGATTGCCGAAAATTTCCATGGGTGCTTCTCTGAACAAGACGCCATGGCTCAAGCCTTAGGGTTTCCATTTCAGGTTATTCTATGCTCTCTGTTTTTTTCTCTTATGTGTTGGCTTATAGGGTGAACTTTTGTGGTAGATGCCTCTGGTTTCGCGTATAGAATCTTATTTATCATCTTCAAGGATATCGAGTATTTTCGGAATTTGTTTTGATTTAGTCGTGGTGAGGTCAGTGATTTAAACTAGGATCGTGTTGAGGTTAGTGATTTAAACTAGGATCGTGTTGCGATAAAGTTGAATTCTGTTTTAGTTGTTGCTTTGGATTCCAAAGTTTTTCATCCGTGTAGCTTCCCCCTAGTGATATCGAATTTTGATGTATTTTATGAAAATTCTGATTCGTCTTGCATATATTGGTTAGGGGAAATTAAGCGATGTTACTACAAAAGAAACTGCATCAAATTGATACTTTCATTGAGCAAATAGATGTAGGAATCTTTAGATTTATTAAAGATAGCTGGGGAAATCCTTACATTATACTCATGACATACCTCACACCAATTTTGAGGAGAATTTGCCCACCCGAAGGTCTGATTCGGTAGACGATAAGAATTTAAAGTTATTAAGTTTTCAATATGGGGCTTGAGCTCAAACCTCGAAGGATATCTCCAAACACCATAAAATTTTACCACGAGGATGCTATTCGGATATTGGAATCTTTGTGATGAAGCATTTGTGTTGGAAGTTTTATTTGTTTTCTTCCCTGCGTCTCAGACTAACAGGTTTGATATTAACTAAAACTAACACGAAGATATTTCGAAGTGTCCTCTGTATTTGCAATAGTTTATCTTTCTAGACATTGAACTGAAGGCATGGCATGCCTTTTCTCTCGCAATATAATAGATTATCATTGCTTTTTTTTTTTTTGTGTGTGTGTGTTTGTTTCAATGCTTATGTATGGTCGATTTCTCCGTCCAATATAGAAACGTGAATTATTGTTGCTTATTTCAGCAGATTTCTTAAAGTTTCTGTTATTGGTACTCATGGGGTGCATAATTTATTGTGGGAAATTATGTCAATAATAAAAGATTCCATTTTCTGGAGTGTTAGACTTTGACTTCGCATTGCATGACGGGAAACATGCAATATTTGTTATGAAATATAAGTTCGGTTTAACTCTCAGAATGGAGTTTATTTTTAAAATTATAAAGTATGAGATCCCACATCGGTTGTAGAAGGGAACGAAGCATTGTTTTATAAGGGGGTGGAAACCTCTCCATAGCAGACGCGTTATAAAATTGTGAGGCTGAAGGCGATACGTAACAGGCCAAAGCGGACAATATCTGCTAGCGGTAGGCGTGGGCTGTTACATAAAAACACACCGAGTTTAGAAGAAACATATCGTTTGTGCCCCCCCAACAAAAGTGCTTGTATGGAAATGCTTTAATGATTTCACCTAAAATCATCATTTGCAGAGTTCATCTGAAGCTCACTCGAATATTATGATACTGTCGTATTGTCTAAAAGTATACAGAAACTTTATAATTAAAAGCTTGTTAGTTGGAATGTCTTCCAATTACAATAGTTTTCTGTTCTTCTTTTCCGTTGACTCTCTGTTCTTATTCATTACTGAGGCAGATTTGAATCTCATGAATTTAGTTGTTGCTGCTATACATTGCAGGTTCTCTGAGGGTTATAGATCTATTAGTGTCTAGAGAGCAATTTTTGTACAGAAACCAGAACAGAGAGTGTATGTCGTACCGACGTCAATGAACTTATAGTTTAAAAAATGGAGAATGAGGATGGGCTTGAGCTTAGCTTGGGTCTGTCCCTGGGTGGAACTTCTGTCAAGTCTCAAGGTAAAATCACTAGCTCCTCAGGTGCAAACATTGAAGAAAGCGATAGAGGCAATAAATTGGTTGATGATTATAAGAATTTTCTTCATGGAGATAATCAGAGGCAAGAATCAGACACTGGATCTTTCCAAAGTAATTCAATTCCATCTAAAGATAATTTCTTTAGTGACCTGTCCAAGGTCAGTGTGGATGGCGTCTCTTCGATCGATTTGAAGAGGAAAGGAACCTGGACTGATAGTAATTACGCTGAAGCGGAGGACGAAAATCTGCCGGAGATCGGCAATAAGCGGAAGTTACTGTTAATGGAAATGAACAGTCAAAAGAAGCAGGAAGGGGAATCTCATCACGTTGATTTACATGAAAAAGGAAGGGCATCATACATTTCCTCAACTGAAGATGGTTCGACTGCTGAAAAAGGCGATGTTGTCGAGTCTAGAGCTGAAGGTTCAACATCAAGACTAGCATCGAAATATGATGATGGCGGCTTCAAACAATGTATAGGAGATTCTAGTTTGCCTAAGGCTTCAAAGGATATCTCTGTATTTTCTGATTCAAGTGCTGTAGAGTTAAGTAGGCAGAAAAGGTTTAACAGTTCATCAATTGGAGTTTCAAACTCTGTCCAAGCCATGAATATGCATAATAATGTGCCTTTTCCTTTATCGGCCAAGGACACTAACACTCTTGGTGCATCTAGCACTTCTGGTCACTTGCAACTTGGAATGCAGCATGTGCTACCTTCTGTAAATGGTGACCGATCAGGGGCCGAACACGTAAACCATCGAAACTTGCCTCTTATGTCTGGCATTTCACCGATTCAGATTTCAGCAATGAACAAAGATAAATCACGGGGTTTGGTTTCTCATCGTCAAATGATCCATCATACCTACGGTAGTGCCGGTGCATCATCTAGCTCAGGTAGACATGATTTCGGACCAAATTAACTCAGATGTTATGATTTCAACCGATCTTATGAATAAATGGATTTTTGGTTATGCCCATAAGGGCTACTACCCGAACAAAAAATTTTCATTGACAACATTTTTTGTGAGATCCTGCATCGGTTGGAGAGGGGAACGAAACACTCCTTATAAGGGTGTGGAAACCTCTCCCTAGCAGACGCGTTTCAAAACCGTGAGGCTAATGACGATACGTAACAGGCCAAAGTGAACAATATCTACTAGTGGTGGACTTTGGCTGTTACAAATGATATTAGAGCCAGACACCGGATGGTGTGCCAACGAGGACGCTGGGCCTTCAAGGGGGGTGGATTGTGAGATCTCACGTTGGTTGGAGAGAGGAACAAAACATTCCTTATAAGGGTGTGGAAACCTCTCCTTAGCATACGTGTTTTGAAACCGTTAGGTTGATGACCATACGTAACGGGCCAATCGGACAATATGTGCTAGCGGTGGGCTTGGACTGTTACATTTCTTTCCTTAAATTGTTTGTTGAAATGATTGCTTACGCGGTCTGTGTGTTTGTATGCATAGCTGCTGCGCAAGTAATTGGACCGTTTTCATCCGAGGGTTTGTTGTACGGCGGGAGGGCAACGGAGCATACCAAAGGCGATAGCAAACAGCCTGCCATGGACGAGGGATCATCTTCTCAAGCAGAACACGCAAAAGGAAGCAGCCCGAACATTAATGCAAAAGACGTATTAGAAATGTCGAAAGCAGCAGGCGTCTCCCTTGATTTTCCAGCTATTAAGCCAGGCATTGCTGCAGATATTGAATTTGGTGGATGTGGTTCATATCCAAACCTTCCTTGGGTTTCTACCACTGGTCCAGGCCCTGCAGGTAAGACAATCTCTGGTGTAACATATAGATACACTGCCAACCAAATAAAGATTGTTTGTGCTTGCCATGGTACTCACATGTCTCCCGAAGAGTTCATTCGACATGCCAGTAACGAGAATTTTAGTGCACAGAACGACAACGGTCCCGCAACGATTCCAAATAAAAACTCTGCTGCCTCGGCACAAAGCTGATTCGATAGCATCTGCGTTATTTACGATTTTACTTGTTTTCGTTATTTGGTTCGAACGAAAATGTCGGGGTTGCAGAAGTGGCTGGTAGACATGGTTTTTTGCAGGCACCTGCTTGTTGTTTGTTTCCTCCTATGATATGGTAAGAGTTCATTCGACATGCCAGTAACACATGCCAGTAACGAGAATTTTAGTGCACAGAACGACAACGGTCTCGTAACGATTCCGAATAAAAACTCTGCTGCCTCGGCACAAAGCTGATTCGATAGCATCTGCATTATTTACGACTTTACTTGAACAGTATCTGTTCTATATGTTTTTGTTATTTGCTTAGAACGAAAATGTCGGGGTCACAGAAGAGGCTGGTAGACATGGTTTTTTGCAGGCACCTGTTTGTTGTTTGTTTCCTCCTATGATATGGTAAGCTGATAGTGTTCCTAAGTATGTCTGATGTATTATAAGCTTCATCGTTATATAGTCGTATCGAATTAATTTTCATAATGTTCTTTTTACTGTCGATTTAGATCTAGAATTCTAGTAAAAATATGTTCAAATAAGTTTATTTATTTCTTTAATTAAATATTCTACAATGATTTAAGTTATTCTCATTATCTCTCTCGAAAAACTTCAATAATATCTTAACTTTCTTAAAAATTTTAAAAATATGCTTATGGTAGATAAAATCATTATCAATATCGCATTAAAAAATACTGTTAAATTTCAAAATAAATAGTAATATATTAAAGTTTTAGAAAAAAAAAATTTGAAAATGATTTAAGTTGGAACTCCAAAGGATATTTAAAAAAAAAGTGTTAGTGCTAATTTTTTTATAATTATTTTTTCATTAATCGACACACATTTATATTTTATTTAAATTACATGTTTAGTTCCTTAATTTTAATTTTTGTATCTATTTCATATCTAAATTTTGGCAATTAAAAATTTAATAATAAAAAGTTTAAAATTTGATTTAAAATAAAATTTAAATATATATTTAATAGATGAAATAGTTTCGTATTATTTTTTTAAAACAAAATTAAAATTTTAGATATTTTAAAGAATTTTGAGATGAGAATTCATAATTTTTTTTTTCCTTTAAATAGATCATATAATTTAATTGAATACGATTCTCGGTTCACATCGCATGACATCCGTTATTGGCTCGCTGGGTTTACAGCCGCGCAGATAGAATAACGCGGGCACAACAACTGAGAGAGAGAGAGAGAGAGAGAGAGAGAGAGAGAGAGAGAGCGTGTGTGAAGAATGGTGAGGATAACTCCAATGGCGTCCTTCTCCGTTCGCCCTTCCTTATCGGCGTCTAGGTTCACCGGATTTTCTCGCTCTGGTCTATCTATAGCCTCATTCAACACTACTCGCAGGATCGCTTTGTTGCACCTTGGCAGTGGTATGAATTTATCTGTTTATCTTTCTCACACTATTTACGATTTTCGTCCGCGTTCGTTTTTTATCCTTACTTCGTCGATTAGCACAATGTTTTGTCAATTTTCCATCTCGATGACGTCTCCGAGATCTTTTTGCAATTTTTTGGTGGATATGCTTGCTTGGAGAGTACTTTTGTTTTGCTCTGTTCGATGCCGTATCAGTTGTAATAGTAGGTTGTTTCTTCTGTACTTTTTCTTGGCTGAGTATGTTTTCTGTAGCTCGTTTGCTTAAGAAGTAATTGATTGTTGTTGTGAATTGAATTTGGATGACGGTTCGTGATTGTGACGATTTTAATTTCATATTTGTGGTTTCATCTGTGGATTTACAGATTCGCTTTGAGAAATCGTGTGTAGAATGTTTAATGTGAACGCACTTATTCTTGAATTTTATTTCTGTTTTTTCAAATGCCTTGAAGTTTTGAGATGGATTTCTCTCCATCAATCTATGTTTATTCGTTCATGAATATTCTTAATCTGTTAAGTAGTGCTTGTCTATTGTCAATAACATAAATTTCCTTGTTATTTTATTTACATTTTCTTTTCATCTGTGGAATTCCTGAGCGTGTTGTAAGCGAGCCTTGGTGTGATTAAATTGCCTGTGAAGGCGAAGGGAATAATCTGTTCCTTGTTATTAATATTTTTCAAGTGGCCTAGATATTTGGATACAATTATCGCTATACTTGTCCGGCATTTATCTGTTTATGGTTGTTATCATCTGTTATAACCAGTGCTTTGGAATGAGAATATTGATAATGGCTTATTTTTAGCAAATTTTCCTCTCCCCTCCCTCCCCAAAGGATCTTGAGAGGGGATTAGTATCTGCTCCTTATACTTCAGCACTAGTTCTTTCATTCTCATATTCTATGATAATTATTATGCCTTCTTTCTTCATGTTGCTTTTGCCATAAACGTCTGGTGGAAGTTTAGTCCTCAACTCCAACTACAGATTCTACGCATTAGCGAGTGAAAAAAAGAATTTATCATTGATAACTGATATTAGGCAACTGCATGAACATAAATTATTTTGCAGCTATTCCACAATCGCAATACGTAGGTCTGAAAGCTTCTGAGATGTTAAGGGGAGAAGGCAGCAACCTCGGGATGACTGTAGCTGGAAATGCAGCCCAAGCAAGCACTGGTGCTTCCTCCGAAAATCTCTTAGACTGGGTGAAAGAGGACAAGAGAAGATTGCTACATGTTGTGTATCGTGTTGGAGATTTAGACAAAACCATAAAGTATGTTTGTTTGGGACATAATAGATATATTTTTCCAATTTCTTGCCAGACTAAGATAAAATCAGGAATTCCTAATAAATAAGAGGGTTATAATCGAGAAGGTTCAAAGACAGAGAAATTTAATTGTTGGTTCCGCAGATTCTATACAGAGTGCCTTGGAATGAAGCTCCTTCGAAAACGTGACATTCCAGAGGAGAAATACACAAATGCCTTCCTTGGGTTTGGTCCAGAGGATTCCCACTTTGTGATCGAACTCACTTACAGTAAGATATGAGCTATTTGATTCTATTTGGCTACTAACGTCATTGCAGAATTTTTAGATTTCTTCTGGAATTTTCTGAAAATGTATCATTTAATAGGCATTTTCCTTCCAAGATATATGGGATGGTGCCATTTCTGACATAATCATGCTCTCCAAGTATGTCTAATTATTTGCCCTCTGGTTTTTGTTCCAGATTATGGAGTCGACAAATATGATATTGGCAGTGGGTTTGGCCATTTTGGTATTGCGGTTGAAGATGTAAGATCCTCTGTTTGGAATCTGCATGTACATAGTTATCCTTAGTTGCAAACCAAAATTTTTGGTATCGCATATGCATGTGCAATCTATTATAATAAAAAGCTTAGTAACCATTTAAATGAACAAGCAAAAACACAAACTTATTGTTATTTAATTGTTGTTTCAAAGTCATTAGCATAAAAGATATTTTCCAGATTTAATGGAAAATGAATTCTCTGATAGTATAGCAAGTGTCATACCTATGAATTATCTAACTAATCCGATGTTTAAACTCTTCACTTGCAAATGATAAGCTATGTGTTAGTTCGCATGAACCTTATCTTTGATTTCTTAGTAAATATTCTAACAAAACATTGGAATGTTTTTTTTTTTTTTTTTAATCTTTCACAAGTTTGTATTGAGAAATGAAACTCTCCACTTTTCGTGTTTTCTCATGTATGTACACTCCGGATGTCCCTTATGGCTTAGTTTTTCCTTTTCTTTTCCTTCACTCCTCTTTTCTCACATGTTACCATCATATCAGTTTTTACTCTTTTGGCCACATATGTGTTTCAACTGCGCCACTATTTAGTCAAAAAAGATTTGAAGGTTCCATTATTTCTTATAAAAAGTGGTTTCCCTTTCTCTTCCTTGATAGGTTTATAAGACCGTAGAACTCATAAAAACAAAGGGTGGCAAAGTGACCCGAGAAGCTGGCCCTGTGAAAGGTGGCCGTACCGTTATTGCTTTTGTTGAAGATCCGGATGGTTATAAATTTGAACTTATAGAAAGGGGACCTACTCCTGAACCCTTATGTCAAGTAATGCTTCGTGTGGGCGATCTTGATCGCTCAATAGAGTTCTATAAGAAGGTAAGGCTGTGTAGTTGGGATTCTTTCAGGTGTAGTTGACAGTCTTTATTGACTTCATTTCTTTATCTCTTCTTTAACTTCTCTGAATATCAATGATGTGAATAATCTATACTGTTGGGCTTTCTTTGTGTTTTCCATATAGGCTTATGGAATGGAGCTTCTACGCAAACGTGATAATCCCGATTACAAGGTAGAAATCTTATAATCGTTACGTAGATTAGAAGTATACACTGAAGTTCTATTCATACATGATGCCGTCATTATATTTAGATTACGAAATTCCCACTAAGTTGAATAATTTTCTTTCTGAAGAAGAATTCAAACTTACAGAAGCGGGTGTAGAAGTGTAAATGACGTATTTTAAATGTATATATTATAGGAGTTGAGTCTGTGGATGGATCTGTAGAGTCTTCTAGGAGTTTATTGCACAGAATTCGCCATTTTTCTAACACGACTTTAACTTCTCTATAATACTTCCCTCATACTGAGATCCATCTCTTATGTGAACCTACATGCCTTTGACTATCTCAATATGGTTGGTTTTATCGTGGTTTTCAGAACATACACATAATATTTGAGCAGTTCTCAGCTGATATGGCTGTGAGCAAGTACGGTTCTGAATTCTGATATATTTTTAGGGCAAACACATTGCATGATCTTTTGTTGGACGAACTTAATCCTTTTTCTTTCCTTATATATCTGGTAATTTGTCTGGAGAATGACTAGTTATTGTTTGTTCTTGTTCATTTTGGTACTTCATTATCTTTGTTCATCTTTTCTTATTTTAAGATTGTCTGTTTCTACTACAGCTGTGGACTGATAACATGTTCCATTCTATGTCATATTTGGTTTGTTTCATGTGCGTTCGTTAACTTGATGATGTGATGTTATGGCTGGTCTTATAGTATACTATAGCAATGATGGGTTATGGCCCCGAAGATAAAAATGCTGTTCTGGAGTTGACATACAACTATGGTGTCACTGATTATGAAAAAGGAAATGCTTATGCTCAGGTACTATATTTTTTCAGTTTTCACCTAATCGTTTTTCTTGTTGAATGTACTGGGAAAATTCATTCTGGTTCGGAAACTTGAATAGTAATTATATTTTAAAATTTTTCTTAAATTTTTAATTACTTGTGATTTCATGAAATCAATAAACGAGATATTCTGATCTTAAAAGCTCCTTCTTGAATAGTAATTATATTTTCAAATTGTTCTTAAATTCTTAATTACTCATTGTCATTGTGATTTCATGAAATCAATAAACGAGATATTTTGATCTTATAAGCTCCTACTTGAATAGTAATTATATTTTCAAATTGTTCTTAAATTCTTAATTACTCATTCTCACTGTGATTTCATGAAATCAATGAATGAGATATTTCTGATCTTATAAGTTTCTTGAGTAGTAATTATATTAACTGATTTCGTGAAATCATATTAACTGATTTC